TCTTTGATGCAGTTATTGGTAGCCAATCTTATCCATTCATCGATGCAAGACACATTTCTTAGATATGACAGTTTAAGAAAAAGCCTGAATTTCTCTATTATTGCTTTTTGGACACGGAGATTTACCAATGACCCATCTATAATATTTAGAAAAGCATCTCTTACATCAGCTTGTTCCGATTCCTCTTTTTGTGTAGACAGGAGTTTCCATAAGGAAAGGTTTTGACAGAAATCAAATGTAAATAGAGGAAGCGAATTCCAGACTTTCAGCCATGTCTTGGAGAGCACACTAGTTTGAGCTGCATCTTTCGCAGGTAGGAAGAATAGTATGTGCAGCAAAATAGGGTCAGGGAGTTGAGAGATTTGATCCATTACTCTACTTTTTCCTCGAGTGGCCATCTTTCCTGAAAATTAATTAGGCAAAAACATACATTAAACTACACATTTAGTTGATTTTATTCTGATGTCAAAGTAAGAGGATCAAATTCGTACTAGGGACTGCGCTATTTCAGAAAATTGTATCACTTCACAAAAAAATGATGTCAACGGCAAGTTAAAGGGCAAGTTTATGTATTATGTCAATTTCGAAACATCATACAACTTGATGGATTAGCAATTACAGCTAAAACGTTACTCAAAGTAAGGATACTGATCTGCTACGATTACGTCCTACTAAACCACCTTCATCATGACTCATGAGCATTCAAGCAAAAGAATAAAGGCATTTCAGAATCGCAAAATGAATCACAATCAACAACAAGAGCAATCGTCATTTCAGAAAAATAAATCAGAGGAGTCTTTAAATCAGCATTCAACCAGTAAAAGAAGCAGCAGCAATTTCATAATACACGGATAAAATAAATATGCTGTAATCTTTGCATCAACTAATAATACAGGGGACAATTTTGGTAAAATCGTACACTAATTTTTAGTTTGAAACTCCAAAAAAAAAAAACAATAAATTGGACGCAAGCCCTCACCAAAACACAGTTATCGGAGCTGGGATTCGAGCAACAATATAACGGATTGCCGTAAATGGCGTTTTCCAGCTACTAAACCCTAAAATATAATGAGAATTTCTCAATCAAATTTTGGAGATACGTACCAAAAAGACTGGACTGCTCAATCAAATTTCTGAATATTTCAAAGCCTTAAATAACTTATTATTATCAATTAAGGAAACTATTGTGTAATTTAATACGTATCTTTATTTTATGAGACATTAATTTGATTGATTTTCCTAAAATACTAAGACCATGTTTAGAATTATTGTTAGAACTTCTATTTTTATTTTAAAATCAGATTCTTACATGTAATCCCATGAATATAGCCAATCTTTGATATTGTTGTGATTGGGCAGCCATTACGAAACCACAATAATTAAAAAAATCAATTAATTTAGTTCAAATGTTAAGTCAGTGCATGAATCAAATTAAAACTAATTTCAAATGCGATTGATATAAAGTTGTCACAAAATGGATACACATGAAGAAGAAAAAAATCCAGATACAAATGAAATAACAATATCAAAATCAGGTTTCACATTTAGTAAGTAAAAAATAAGCTCATAATATATCAACTTATACTTTATCCCGTGTTGAGGTTTCAATTCCCACTAATAATTTCATAAATATCCTTCTCATTAGTGGGTTGGTTTAGATTTTCCTTCAACAATAATAATAAAAATTTAACCCATAATTATTTTTTAACATCTTGTATGGACCTTAAAACCTCTTTTTAATGACTATCAATTTAAAAGTCGAGAGTTCGAAGCTAAAAGAGTAAAAAAATTGATCAAAAATTTAGAAAAGACAACAAAAATAAGTTTGAAATGAAAAAAGTAACATTTAAACGATAGGGGTGACAATGTCTAAATCAAGATTGTAATTGCAAGTTGCAGCTCCCTATGCGCCTTACAAGGCACAGCTCCCTATTTGTAGTTCCTCAAACTAATGAATTCGATCTAATTGTTAGAACGTAAATGTGTTTATGGTGATCCGGGAAATAAACTGATCATAATTTTTTACTTTTTATTATAATTGGTGGAAACAGAAAATTTGCATGGAAAAATTTAGAGGTCAAATTTTATTTTATTTTTTGAATATTTGAGAAAGGTGCGGGGCCCTATGCGTCTTACAAGGCATAGACAGTCTACAACTTGTAAGTCACTGTCTCTTTGCGCCTTGTAAGGAGCATAGGGAGCTGTGCCTTGCAATTGCAACCTTGATTTAGACGCCGTCTCCCTTGGCGTATAAATGCTATCATTTTGATTTTAAACTTATTTTGTTGCTTTTTTGAAATTTTTGGTTAATTTTTTATCTTTTAGGCTCCGAACTCCACTTTCGATTACCAATTAAAAGTGGACTAAAGTTTAAGTTATTTTTTTTATTCATCACACCAAACAGTGCTTACATCCGGGTTGAATAAGTTAAAGGATCCTTACTTTATTGGGTAGGGTCATGATGAAGTGTATTCCTCTATCAAAAAATGGAGGCGATTACCAATTAAAAGTGGACTAAAGTTTAAGTTATTTTTTTTATTCATCACACCAAACGGTGCTTACATCCGGGTTGAATAAGTTAAAGGATCCTTACTTTATTGGGTAGGGTCATGATGAAGTGTATTCCTCTATCAAAAAATGGAGGCGATTACCAATTAAAAGTGGACTAAAGTTTAAGTTATTTTTTTTATTCATCACACCAAACGGTGCTTACATCCGGGTTGAATAAGTTAAAGGATCCTTATTTTATTGGGTAGGGTCATGATGAAGTGTATTCCTCTATCAAAAAATGGAGGCGATTACCAATTAAAAGTGGACTAAAGTTTTAAGTTATTTTTTTATTCATCACACCAAACGATGCTTACAATCCAGGTTGAATAAGTTAAAGGATCCTTACTTTATTGGGTAGGGTCATGATGAAGTGTATTCCTCTATCAAAAAGGAAAAAGGATTAAAAATGCCCTCAACGTATTGCAAATGGGTCAAAAATGCCCTCCTTCCACCTATTGGATCAAAAATGCCCTTAAGGTTATTTTTAAGGTTAAAAATGCCCTTCTTTAACAAAATTTTGACATGGCATAAATGAATTTTTAAATTAAATACATGGCATTAAAGTATTGATCCACGTAAATTTTTGACCCAACTCAAAGAATCCGACTGATGACTGGATTGGACTTCCATCTTCCTGTTTCCTATTATTGAGGAACCAGTGCTCACTTCCACCAAAAACTCCATTGCATCCCACCAGTAACCTTCGCCTGAACATGGTAACAATCCCCGCAGTGGAACCACCCAGGGTATTCGTGACCACGGTCTGTCCGACTGTCCCACGAAGGTCCAGTTTCCTTGATCAACCATATGTGGGTACGCAACGCAACAAGAATTTTATGGAACGATCCAGGATTAAACCCAAACCACAACAACAATGTTCCCAATAGATTTCAGTCTCTGACACTCAAACCAAGCAACCGTGGTGAAATCCGTTCAATAGATTAAGTAGATTCGAACAAAAAACACCAGAAAATCAGCTGGGTTATATTAAAAAGGGTAGGTCAGTTCCATTGGGTTGGGTCAAAAATTCATGTGGACCAATACTTTAACGCCATGTGTTTAATTTAAAATTTTATTTATGTCATGTTATAATTCTGTTAAAGAAGGGCATTTTTAACCTTAAAAATAACATTAAGGCCATTTTTTATTCAATAGGTGGAAGGAGGGCATTTTTGACCTATTTTCAATACGTTAAGGGCATTTTTAACCCTTTTCCCATCAAAAAATGGAGGTTTGATATGATATGACATGCATGTCAAACATGTGTCTTGCATTTTCTTAGTCAAAGACAATAATAGGGTGACTTTATTATTCTAAAAAAAAATGACCTTATAGAAATAAAATTGAGTAACTTTACTATCGGATAAAAATGACTCGTAAATTGGATGACATTCAAGATATTAACTTTCATCAAGATTTGACTAATTTATATTTGCCTCCCAAATATTAGCATGCAATATTTTTTTTCAGGGATAGACATCAAAAGAAGAGACTCACAAAACATTTCGTTTTGCTCAAAGGATAACTAATAAGTCTTCTATCTTTTTGTTTGTCTTTGAGAAAATCAATACTCTTTTGACTACGTAATTGCAGTTACATGAATAAATTTAGTTCAAAAAGAAATAAAATTTTATGAACTTTGTTCTTTTTGTGTGTGGGCGTTTGGTCAAATTTCTTGGTAAAATTTGAAAAAAAATAAATAAAATTGTTTTCACAAATGAAAAATGATATTTGAAAATTGTAGTAGGATGTATATTGCTCATGAATATAAATTCTTTTTAACTTTTTTCCGAGTAAAAGAAAAGCTGAACAGGGAAAAAGACATACGATCAATTATTGGCTCATTTCCCCAAATTGTCTAGTGGCATTCTTACGTGTGTCACTTTAACAAACAAATGGTCCAGATTTGTTTAATAATTTCTGACCCAAGTTATTAGTTACTGTTTGTTGGAGAGACTTGAAGAGGAGAAAATCCTATTTGGGAATAAAGAGAGGAGAGTGAACTATATAATATAATTTTGCACCATTTGATCTGTTTTAGTACTAGGTGAACTTCTTTATTGCACCAGAAGAAGACCAAATACATCAGCAGTACCTTTCTTTTTTTCCAGGTTTGAACTTTTGAAAGTTTTGTTTGAATTAATATGTACAAGTATTCAGTTGTTTAATTAGTGAATACAATGTTTGGAAAGATTGTATCGTTTTTTATTACTACACAATATCACACAACAAGATTTGAAGTAAGGGTATGGGTAAAGGATAAAATATGATTATCAAGTAATAAGTGTAAAGACAAAATTAGAATTTTTTTTAAGGTCACCCTGTTTCACAAATGTTGTTACCAAACCATGGATTAGATTTAATAATCAGAACAAATATTGTATTTAAACTAAGATAATGCTTCTCTAAATTGATGTTGTTTTTTTAATCTAGGAAACAAATTATATATATTGATGGCTAATGCTGCTGTGATTTCTCTGGTACGATCTTTGGAGGAACTGGTGCAGCGAAAACCACATTTGATAAGTGATGAAACAAGAAGAATGGTGGATTCTGTCCTTGATAGTCTTGAATATTTCCAAGCCTTTCTTGAGAGCACTAGCAAGAGAAGGCAAAAATATTGTAGAAAGGTTGAAGAGTTGGAGAGAGAGATTAGAATGGAAGTCGAAAAAGCAGAAGACGTGATTGAACTAAAGATCATGGATGGGATAATGAAAAAAGAGGGATTATCCAAGACTTTCTTGAGAACACTTGTAGGAAAGATTGATGCACCAAGGGAAAGAAAGGCAATACGCAAAACATTGCTACCATTTGTAAAAAAGATTGATGCTGTGAAGAGGAATGTGATGGGAAGTAGTTTTGGTGCAAATCAAGTTCAAGGTTATGATGATTCTACAAATGAGGATTTGTTGCCTGGTCATTCATCTAGAAATGTTGCAAAACTGAATCCAGAAAATATTGTCGTGGGTCTTCAAGATGACCTCGTGAGAATAATCAGAAGACTAAAGGGGCATACGTTAACTCGAGAGATTATCCCCATTTTAGGAATGGGGGGAATAGGAAAAACCACTCTTGCTAGGAAGGCATTTGATGATTTTGAAACTAGACATCGCTTTGACATCCATATTTGGGTGACCGTATCTCAAGAATATTGGATTAGAGGTATGCTGATGGAAATTCTTCGTTGTATTTCAGAGGTGACAACCGATGAAAAATCCAATGATGAGTTGAGGGATACAATATCTATTGAATATCGGATTAAAAGTATGTTGTTGGACAATCTTCGTCATACTTCAGATGAGACCCAAGAGGTGTCTAATGATCGGTTGATGGATTCGATATACAAAAAGTTAAAGGGTAGGAGGTATCTTGTTGTAATGGATGATATTTGGAGTAGTGAGGTCTGGGATCTTTTGACAAGAATTTTTCCAGATGATAACAATGGGAGCCGAATTATTTTGACTAGTAGGCAAGAAGAGGTTGCTAATCATGCAGATCCTGATAGCAATCCTCATGAAATGAACCTCTTAAATTCAGATAATAGTTGGAAGTTACTTCGTGAAAAAGTGTTTGGGGTAGAACAGGCATGTCCTCCTGAATTACAGTATATTGGAGTGGAAATAGCACAAAGATGCCAAGGACTACCTTTAGCTCTTCTAGTGGTTGCGGGACATCTCTCAAAAATTTCTAGAACACGAGTAAGTTGGGAACATTTTGCCATAAGCGTAAGTAATGTTGTTACTAATGAATCAGATATATGTCTAGGAATTCTTGCTCTGAGTTACAATTACTTACCTGATCATCTTAAACCATGTTTCCTTTACATGGGAGTCTTTCCAGAAGACAGTAATGTTAACATTGTTAGACTAATCAACTTATGGATTTCTGAGGGTTTTCTATCAGATGAATTAGAGGGAAGAGATTATTTTGAGGATCTTGTTAGCAGGAATCTGGTTATGGTTAGAAACAGGAGTTTTAGTGGCGAGGCAAAAACATGTGGTGTCCATGATCTGATTGGTGACTTGATTTTAAAAGAAGCTAAGAAAGAGAAGTTCCTACAGGTTACTAAGCCTTCAGAAGAGAAGCTTAGACATCCTCGTCGCTACAGTTTCCATTCACGTGATCAGGCTGCTTTTTGGAAGTTGTCTAATATCATCAGAACATTGCACTTCTTTGAAGGATTTAAAAAACTTTCTAAACAAGTTCCTCTTTTGGTGTCCTTCAAATTGCTAAGAGTGTTGGCAATCCTAAAAGTTACATTTCAAAGATTCCCACTTGAGATAACAAAATTAGTACAACTCAGATACCTTCAATTCAATTGTTATGATCATATTCACTGGTCAGTGTCAGAGCTTTATAATCTGCAGACATTCATTCTTGGTTACCAAGTTGCAGGTTTATTACCTCCAACCATACCTGTGGAAATTTGGCAAATGAGAAACTTGAGGCATCTTCATATCGGTGACTTCTTTTCTTTTCCTATTCCATCAAACAAGCTACAAAATCTACAGGAACTCTCCTGTCTAGCTTTGACTAGCTGCACTTCTGAATTATTTTCTGCTATTCCCAATCTTAAAAAGCTGCAAATTGTTGGAAATTATCTGATGGAAATGAAGAGAGAGCGCCTAAATAGCCTTTCCTGTTTAAAAGAACTTGAAATCTTGAAGTACAGGGATGATGGGATAAAACCTTCCCGAATCCCAAGTATGTATGCTTTGCCTACATCACTGAAGAGGTTGACTTTACGTTTTACTAGTTTACCATGGGAAGACATGGCAAACATAGTAAAGTTGCCAAACCTGGAGGTGCTTAAAATTAAAGACAACGGATTTCTTGGTGATGTATGGAAATTAAATGATGAAGAGATTTTCAATCAACTTAAGTTCCTTCTAATCAGTTGGGCAGGTCTGAAGCACTGGGAAGCTAGTAGTGTAAACTTCCCAAAGTTGCAACGCCTATTTCTGAAAAGATGCATGAACCTGGAGGAAATCCCTCAAGACTTTGGGGAAATATGTACCTTGGAGTCAATAGAGTTGCATGATTGCAGTATATCTGCTGCTAAATCCGGCAAAGACATTAAAGAAGAACAGGAGAGCATGGGGAATGAATGTCTTAGTGTCCTCATCTATAATCATCCGTAAGATCGTTTCAAAAATTATTGTTTTCTATCTTTACGTTATTTATTCTTTCAAATTGCCTTGTGATATATTGAACAATTTAAGCATATAAAGAACGTAGTCAAGGAAGTCTCCAACCAACTTACGTTTGTGATATTGTCCTTTGGACATCAGTGATCTGCTTTACGAATCATAATGAGTTCCTTCCTTCTCCTTGCAGATGTTGACAGGTCATCTCCAGCTCAGCAATACTTGATTAACAAAGTTGTGGAAAAAATGGTGTCCTTGTGATTGACTCGACTCTCCAGCAAGGGGAGATCACTTGTAACTTGTTCATTTGCAAGTTAAGTCTCTTTTCTGTTCCTTATAATAATTATTACTTAGGTTGAGTTGCTCTCTCTTTATTTTTGTAATTTTGTTGCAAGTTAAACATTATATGACTATATCATATGTTTCTTATGATGTTGTACTTTGTAATGTTATTTTCCTTAATTTGAGTGCATACTAGTATGCTTCTGCTCTGTACAATGCTCTGCAGTTTGAAAAGTCCGATTTATTTGGTATGCTTTAATACCCCTGATTGAACCAACAAAAAACAAAAGAAATTTGAAGGTTGAGACATAGAGAGTTTACTAGCAGGCAATCTCATCTTGATAGAAAATGTTCTGAATCAGTCCAAGCCGAATGTCAATACCTGGATGTCATACAAGCAACTATTGGGCTGAAATATTAGGCTAGAAGATTTTCACAAAGGTTGATTTGGGACAATCCAGGCCTAGTTAACAACTGGTTTAAAAGGACTAGTACTCAGTTAGAAAGAAGAGGAGGTGAATCGTGATCGGTCTATCTCTATCCTTCTAATGTCTGAAACTTGTCATCTCCTTGGGGTTCGTAGATAATTGTTGTTTTAGTAATTGTACTGAAACTTGTCATCTCCTTGGGGTTTGTAGTTAATTGTTGTTTTAGTAATTGTATATATTCCAGTGTACAACATTTGAGAAAAAGACGATGAGTTCCCCAATTTTATTTGTTCAACCATCATGAAATTTAAACTACAAGGATATTTAGTATGAGAATGCTTCAGACAATAACTCAAATGGTGAATAGGCAAATGATGATTTGATCTAACTCAACCTCATAAACTAACTCATGAAGGAAGATCGCTCATGCAATTAAGACACCACTCATCCCTTGAAGAATCGATATGGGACACTTCATGATCAATGCGCAGGTATATATGATAAAGTGTCTTATTTGAACATCAAAAACTTAAAGACGTAAAATCCAATGATCAAGTCTTTAAAGGAAAGTTGCAAGTTGCAACAAAGTTAAACAAACAGGAGACGGCCCAAGTCCACATTTGAAAATCTAGCAACTATGTAAATGGGCTACGATTTGACATACAAACTTAACTGCTGGACCGCTAACTAGAGGCGAAATTAAGTAGGCTTGAGAGAATTCAATCAGACGGAAAGGAAAATAGCACTGTTTATATACGGATTAAAATTATTTTATATGTATATCTAGTAGGTATTAAACCTTTTAGCTTTTTGTGTGTTTACGTATTCATATCTTGAACCCTTTAAAATGAAAATTCTGACTCCATCATAGAAAATATTCTTGACATATATAGAAATTGAAACTATTTGAGAGTACATGGAACACTTGTATTTTTATTAAGAAAAAAATTGTTTTAGCATGAAAGAAGTTTGTACGTGTCAGATAGCACATGTAACGTATAGTCCTAATATAGAGAGAGTGTATATAATTGTGTCCAGGGCGGAGCCACCCTCTTGGCCAAGGGTGTGAAGTTATACTCTTCGCTTGAAAATTACATTGTATATATAAAGTCTTAATTTTGATCTTATATATATATATATATATATATATATATATATATATATATATATATATTGGTTTAATCTAGTGGTTAAGGGGTCGTGAAAATTCTTGTTCTGGTAACTTTTTTTTTTACTGCATACAATCATTGACACCCCTTAATGAAAATCAAGCTCTGTTTCTAATTGTGTCACGAGAAACGTATAGCCCTACTTTTTAAATAAGAAATTATTTTCCTTAAATGAAAAAGAGAAATGGAAGAGAAATTTGTGTTTACACACCTAGTGAGTAAAAGAACATACATGGTTACCACAATATTTTCTTTCAATGATATCTTTACTCTATTTTTCAAAATTCATATAAAGTAAATTACATTTTATACTGTTGTTATATAATTTTCGAATATAAAATTTAATTTTAAAATATTAAATTAATATAATCTACTTGAATTTAAACAATCATACAAATTGTCTTAATTTTTTTTAAAAAAAATATCGTATAAAAAGGTGTGTTTACATGTGGTGGCATTGTATTGTGTACATTTGTGTGAAAAAAGGGGTACGTGGCAAACTAGTCGTTGCTACATGACATCATACTTGCGGCACGTCTACGTATTAATTACAGGTTTAAGCTCTTTAATTTGTTTGTCCAACTCTTCCGCTCCTAACAAATCGGCTACTGACTTTTTTGGGAAAATTGTATGAAATAACAAATTATTAATTCAAATTAAATGTTATAGTTATAGTTTATTTTAATTGTAATTCGCAGTAAACATCTCATTTTTTTGCCATCTGATTCGATATACAATTAGCAATTTTATACATTTCGGTATAAAATGTATAAAATACGTTTTTGTTTGTATAAAGCGAGAGAAAAATGTATATACAAATACATATATTTTCATCCTATACACTTATAATTATACAAATACAGATCTTATTATACAAATTACAATGTATAAATGAATTTATACAAAACTGAACAATTTGTATAAAATTGGATGTTTGTAGCGAATTATACAAATCAAAAGCTCCATAGCAAACATAAAATTTGTTATGGAGCACAATTATGCAAACTATAACTATAACATACAAATATGATTTTTATGTTTGTGTGAAAGTTGCTCATTCTTTTTAGCCTTTTAGAGACTTTTAAATGTAAAAATAAAATAGAAAAAAAAAGTTAATAAATATAGTAATTCTCTTTCACTTGAAATAGAAAAAGAAATTAAAATGGTGATCAATGGGAGAGATTTGAATCTACAACAGTTGGAATGTTAACTTGAAATCGTAAATGTTACACCGTAAGTTGATATGATATTTGGAAAAATTACTGTTTACGTATTAGAAAATATTTATTTCACACAGTTTATACTTCGTTATAAGCAATATAATTTTTTTTATATTTGTGTTTAAATATCTTTTGCATAATATAAAACATTTTATACAAGATCGATACCTTATGTAGTTTTTCCTCAGATATAATATTGTATAATATTTGGAAAAAGGGCCTAAAATATTCTTCAACTACTTCTACTTTTCGGGACTAAAATGCTTTCGATATCAACATTTTGGCTATATTTTTCCTCTTCTTTAACGGACTAAATCATAACCTCAATTAAAAAAATCATTAATGATGTGTCACTATACTATTGGCTACCCTAACAAATAATTAAAAAGACCAAACCCACCCAAAAACCCCACCCGGAAATTTGGGTAGAGCTGGTGGGGAATAATGATATTTGACTAAATATTTTCAACTTTTGAATAATTAAAATGTGTTTTATTAGTCACTTCATATAAAAATTATGGTAAAATTACGGTACTTGATTATTGTAAAAAATTATGTTACCGTCAAATATGTGGTAATCATAGAGCTTAATATTACATAAATAATCAATTGATCGAAAATGAGTCATAATTATGATAAATTTATATAAACTTTGTTTAATAGCTGCTTAAACGGTGTAATGGTTATATTCAACACCTGCTTATTAGTTTGACAAACATGTGTCTACGCTTGTGTATATATAAGTGCATCATCGTCTTAGATTGTCATCGTTTTCTTTTAATGTGAATAAACATAGATAGCTTCGAATCGACATAAAATCTTGACTGATGTTTAGTTTTTTTAAATGCGAACCAACATTGTGATTTGTGTGCTTTCAATATTTTATCATACTTTTATTATGATTTTCTCGTGAAACTAATTTATCTACATTATGATTAAACATATGTACGTTTTTACTCCATAAAGAGGCAGATTAGTTTAGATTGATCACAATAATTCCACTTACGGAAAATATCTTAATTAGAAAGAAAATCCCCATTATAATTCCATCTGAGAAGAGTAATAATTAAAAAACAATTATCAAGGATGGTATTGCATTTATGTACCCCTATATATAATAGGAAAGCTTTTAAAAATGAAGTACCGAATTGTAAGTAGTGCTCTTTAATAGAGTTAAATTAATTTGATTAGATGCAAAATGAATGCAAATAATCTTTCTTTTCTTTGTAGTTTTACATGTTTTTTGAAATCAGAAATTTGAGAAGATGCTTATTAATATTAAAACATTAATAATACTCTTATCCAACATTATTCTAAGATATCTTTCCGAAAATTATTAATACATTTTATTCAATATTATTCTAATATCTTCGATCGATTTCTACCATCATTCTCTTCTCATAATTTCATGAGTTCTTGTAATCATAAACTCCACAAATTGCCAGTAAATATTTCACCAATCAGAAATGGGTCGAATGAGCTTCTTTGTTTTTACAAGTTATTTTGTCGGCCCAATAGTTAACGGCCACAAAATTGGCGTGAAGAAATGGTAAATATCTCAAATTAAAGGCTTGACTGGGATCCACCTCATATATGGGACCCATTCCTTGAAGTACGTAACGAAGAAGATATAATATAATATATCCTCCTACTCAAAGCTGAGTCAGGCTGGGCCCTATACTCACCAATATACTGCCAACGAATTGAGTTAGTTACATTAGAAAGAGTCATTTGGTATAAGGCATAAAATATTTTATCCTGTTTTAATTAGAGGTATTAAATATTTTTTGGATTATTTATTGCACCATTTATATTATAGAAATAAAATAAATTTTAGAATAATTTATTTCTAAATAATTAATTTTAAAAAGAAAAATCTAAAACACTCCTAAACTTGACATAAATTATTAATTACAATCTTAAAAACGAGTATCTACTTGACTAACTGTATCAAAATACAATCCTTAACTTGACGAGAACTTAAGAGTGTATTTCACTCAAATCGCAAGATTAAAAGTGTATTTAAATTGAGTTAATCAAGTAGAAAGAAGGGTATTTTTAAGACTGTGAATAATTTAGGGACGAAACTAATAATTATTTTACGAAAAAGAAGAATTTTGAGATAATTAATAAAATTATTGTTATATATATATGATAAGGAGGTTAGCGGTTTTCATGGGTAGGCTAGTTGCATGAGGCAAGTTGGTCCGACTTCTCATACTGTATTTGGGAGAAAGAAGGAAGAAGGTGAATTGTACTGGGATACAGCTTAGCATATGTTTGTTATGTTCGTAACGTAATGGAAACACTTGGCTGCTATGTATAATCAATTACAATATATTTTTATATCAAATAAAAACAAATAAACAATACAAACTTTGAGATTTTCAGGGAAGGACTCAAAACCTCCGAAATCGCAGGGAAGGACTTTCCGGCTGTTATAAATACTCTCTTCTTTTTTTTAACCTAAAATAAGCCACACCGCCTACTTTTCTCTCTATCTAATACTACGAAGTTTTGATTTTGGCTCTGTTTTTTCATTAACCATGACTATACTCATTGAGCAGCTTCCTGTTGGTAAAAAAAATAAAATCATTCTTAGCTTTCTTTTATTTATATTACTTGTTTGTTCTTCAAAATTGGGTATTTATTTCTGAAACAATGCGTGTTTATCAGAGATCCAGGCTGATGAAACGAATATTCATCATGCTCAGAATCAAAAGGAATTGGTATTGGGTGATGGATTTGCAGTTCCTCAAACCAATGCATTTGGCCATAATTTTAGGTCTCTATTTTACTTTCATCTTCTGTAATATTGTCCTAATCTCTAATTACGATCATTTTCGCGCTGAAATTGAGGACGATACTCTGTTTAAACCACAAAAGAGGTTATATTACTTCCAGATTTGTACTAAGTAATCATGACGTAATTAATTATATCTAACAATACTTTGGTGATATGAAGATTGGAAAAAGGTGAAAGGAGAAAATATGGGTCTGATTTGATGACGATGTTTACTAAGTCTGCAGTCTGCGTACACGTCACTATACTCAAATCTGTTTGTGAGATCAAACTGGATATGCTGTTAAAGAATATTTATGACCCAGGACATGCCTAAATTTCTATGGATTTCTGTGACAAGGAATAAAAAGTTCCTTCAGATTAATTCAATGTCTTTTTCTTAATCAATCAAGTGTTTGAATAAACTAACCAGTAGCTCATTTTTCTCTTTTTTCGAGAGAAAAAGAAAAAAAAGAACTTGTTCTCTACATGTAGTTTGTGTGACAAAAATTGACCTATTAGTAATATTAAAAACAGGGACTACACTGTTGAAAGTGCAAGGCAACAAGGGGTAGAATTTTTTTACAAGATCAATCACTTAAATCAAACCTATGATTATGTAAGTGACTTTATTTGGTTTAGAACAAATGTGTATCACTTTCGATTTTTTTAATTTTTTATTGGTTCTATTTGAATTAAAATTTGACCCTGATGATGTATTGCAGGTAAGTAAGATGAGGGTTGAATATGCAAAATTGGACAAGGCAGAAATGAGCATCTGGCAATGCTGTGAACTATTGAATGATGTGGTTGATGACAGTGACCCTGATTTGGATGAACCTCAAATTCAACACTTGTTGCAAAGTGCTGAAGCCATTAGGAAAGACTATCCTAATGAAGATTGGCTCCATTTGACTGCCCTTATTCATGGTACCATACTTTTCAATTCTCTTTTTTGTTGTATTAATGTTAGTGTTAGTCGTGCCGAGGGTGTATCAGAAGCAACCTGTCTACCCTAATAGAGTAGGTAAGACTGTGTTCACATCACCCTCTTCAAACTCCACTTGCGAAATTACACAAGTAAATGCACTAAGAGGTCAAAGAAGGTTCAATATCTACTATATATATGTAAAAATTTAATTGTAGTCCTTCGGGATGGCTTAGTTGGTTTGGAGGGTGATCATCCACACGAATGATCCGGTATCGATCTCCCCTCAATGTCTTCTGAGTCGAGTTGTCGCATCAGGTTTGCCTAGTGTGATTTACATCACCGCTATTACATAGTGGGGGTTTACCCCGTTTGCACAAAGTGCTCACTCTGTAAAGGCCGTGACAAAGGTTATAGCGGCTGCGAATTATCCTGGGATTCTAAAAAATAATTGAATTGTAATCATGTATAGATAGTGTAATTGAGGGTTCACATGAACCCTCTCAACCCTCCCTAGTTCTGCCCTGATTATTGTATCAAAATTAAATGAAACTAATTAAGATTATGGTACAAATTTTTTTTGTTGCAAGATTTGGGGAAAGTGCTTCTTCTTCCTAGCTTTGGAGAGCTTCCTCAATGGGCTGTTGTTGGTGACACGTTCCCTGTTGGCTGTGCTTTCCATGACTCAATTGTTCACTCCAAGGTTCTCTTTTTTACTAGCTCAATTAAATTCCTTAATCTCTAAATTAAAACACATTCAAATTTAGTTAATTAGTACTATTTTTTTTCTATTTTGGTGTTGATCCAGTACTTTAAGGAAAATCCTGACTATAATAATCCTGCTTACAACAGCAAATTTGGAGTTTACTCTGAGGGTTGTGGACTAGACAAGGTGTTGATGTCATGGGGTCACGATGATTATATGTACTTGGTATATTTTTTCGATTCTTAATATTTTGTGAAATCTGACTAATCTGAATTTATATGAATAACTCTTAAAAAAGAGGAAAATTTCACTTTTGTGGTCATTATTATTAAGATTGTACTTGACTAAAAACAAGTGTTATTAACGTGCACAGGTTGCAAAAGAGAATGGGACAACGTTGCCATCAGCTGGTCTTTTCATTATTAGATATCATTCATTTTATGGTAAGGAGTAATGACAAAATAAACTACTCTTGAGACTCTTGCGGGAATAAAATAATAATTCGCGCTATGTTTAAAGTTGTTTTTAAAACTTATTTCTTTATTTTTAAATGTATAAGTGGCTATATGTTAAATTTGATTTATTTAATGTGGCAGCCCTGCATAAGTCTGGAGCTTACAAGGAACTAATGAATGAGGAAGACAAGGAAAATCTTAAGTGGCTTCATATTTTTAAGTAAGATTTAAAATTCCCAAATATTAATTATTTTAATTAATTAAATTTTCTTTTAGAAAAAGAAGAAACATTTTATAATTTTTTTTAAAATTGTGTGGTGCAGCAAATATGACTTGTACAGCAAAAGTAAAGTTCAGGTTAATGTGGAAGAGGTCAAGCCTTACTACATGTCTCTAATTGAAAAGGTGAGCATTTTAGTTTAAAATGTTGATTTAGAAAATCAAAAATATTTTTTTCTTCAAATCAGTAATTTTATTTTAATATATGAATAAATTATTACGGCGATCCATTGGTTCGATTAATTAACTGTAATATTTAATTTTCCTTTTTTTTAACTGATTGAAATGTTATATTGTGCAGTATTTCCCAGCAAAGCTGAAATGGTGAAGAGCTGACAAATGAAAATATAAATAATAAAGACTGTAATGGTCTATAGTTGAATTGTTTTTAATTATTTTTTTTTATCTTTCTTTAATTTATGTCTTTTGTATTAATGTTTTGCGATGTAAAAATATGATCCGGCTATGTAATAAAAGTGGCTGTTTTAGTTGATGGCCCAATTTCAGTTTCAGAATTATTGTCACATTGTCAATTAGAGTTTAAATGAAATAATTTTTGAATAACATTTTAAGATATATTATTTTATTATATTAATATAAGAAAAATTATAATTTATAACACTTTTCGTTTGTATAATTTTTGAATATTTAAATTTTAATTTTAAATATCAAATTAATCTAATTTAATTACCTTTTAAAATCAAGTCAAATTAATGTACGCTAATCAAATCCCGACAACTATTAATTTTTACACGATGTAAATTCTCTTATAAAAAGTCACAAAAAAAAACAAGAAAAATTCTAAGTGACCTAAAAAATCAATTCTCTCCTAAATTTGGCATGTTGAATGGACAAATTTAATACTAAATTTTGAGTAATTTTTTTTTTCCAGAATTTCAGTGCCAATAATTAGTGTATTAGACAATGGTATCCTCTCTAAAGTCTTAAACATTCATTTTTCTCTTCTTTTTGCGTTGACTTGATATTTTATAATACCATGAAAATTTGTATGGTTTTGATTTGATCAACGGCTTAAAACAACACTTGCGGCTTAAAAACGTGATTTAGTTTAAGTAAAATTTCCCTTGTCTTTGTAAAAATCAAAGTCCATTTCATTTTAATTGATGCATTTTGACCAGGTATGAACTTTAATAATAAAGAAAGGTTGTGGATGTAATATTTATAAAGTTATAAATATATAATTAAGATTAAATTGATAAGTTCAAAAATTAATTATTATTTTTAAAAAAAATAATCAGAAAGCACTACAGTTTGATTAGTCCAATTCATCTTTCCTTCACAACGGGCCGCAGCTGACTAAATTAACGGAATAGTGGGCTGAGCCATTCAGCCATGGGTACAGAAAATTCATCCCCCCCCCCCCCCCGAAATAACCCACCCCACCCCCACCTTTTTTTTTTTTTTTTTTTTTTTAAAAAAAAAGATAATATATTTAGTAAATTGACATTCTTAATTGTTTGGTAACTTACGAACCTTTTAGATTACCGATTAAAATTTTGAGAAAATTGAAAATCCTATATAAAATTATTAATCCATAAATTAAAATTTTATAGATATTAGACGCCAATTAAATATTATGAAAATTACGTGAATTGGCAAATATTATTAGGTTATTATTCAACGAGGGTATAATTTCATTTAGTTACTGTGCGTGACTATATTTAATATGATTTGCTATTAAATAGGGGACCCACCACCGATTTGTATACCTAAGGAATAAAATTCCTTACCGGATTTGTACACTAATTTATACAAATCTAATATTATCTCTCCTCTCTCCTTTTCCTAATTCTCTCCTTTAATCACTCATATACTTTAGATTTGAATTTTGAAATCTAATTTCTCCCTTCTAATCGTTGTTTCACAATGGGAAAATCACACCATATACACATTTAAGAGACAATATTACGAGTTTTAAACCTACTCTTAAAAAATTCTTACTTATAACAGTTTAATTACGGGTTATAACATATCAATTAAATTTATTTAAAAATCAATTAAAATTTACTTTATTAAATGATTAATCTTTTTATATTATTAATTATTTAATTATATTGATGGCAGTTCCTTTTATATAATTAATAGGTGATAGAAATAATATTAATGAGAGAGAATCAATTTGTAATTATCTATTACACCTTTTAAGAGATTTTTTAACTTATTCAAATAACTTTTATTTATTAATGACTATTGGGGCCTTTAATTTTTTTTTAAAAAAAAATTTATCACCGTATATTTTAACATGTATTTTTATCTCTCTTTAATCTTTTTCTTTTTGCTTTTCTTGATGCTTTTTTTATTTTAAATTTTGATATTGTATTTTTTTTAATCTGATTTTTTTAGAATTAAGAATTCTATATTTTGAAAATTTGATTTCGTTTTTTTTATTTTAATTAATCCAAAACTTGATTTCTTGAGAAAAAAAATCGTTTTACTTAAGTTTTGAACTTGTTTTTGGTGTGTTTTTCTATATCTAAAATACTATTTTGTTGGTGAAATAAGTATATTTAATTCTGAAATTTGTTGATATATATAGATAATATGAGATCATAAAATCTTTAATAAGGATTTCTTAAGTTTTAGCTTAAATATGATAAAAAAAATCACACTTGAATACGGAATATAAATTGAAGAGAGGAAAATATAGAACTTGTATTAATTATCGCAGTTTAGACTTTTAATTACATGTTTTGATTTTTGGGTGATGTATATTTCTTTGCTACAATTTTTGACAACATTAATATATAATATGCATTGTTTTACAACCAGATTTATTCTTCCCGGATTTATACCCATTGGATACTAATTTTATACATTTTATTTTTTGTCTTTGTTCTAAAATTTCAAGTTGGATACCAAGTGTATGTAAATTGGATAAAACATTAACTTGTGTTTAGATTGTCTAATTTGGTTGAAATATCAGTTACATTTTGTTTTTTTTTTCATTTTCAAGTGGGATATATGTTGGATACCAATTGAATACAACATTAACTTGTTTAGGTTGTCTAATTTGATTGAAATTTCAACCACATGTTGATTTTTCAATTTTCCAATGGGATATCAATTCAATACTTATACCAATTGAATACATTATTAACTAGTTTTATGTTGGTTATTTCACTTGAAATCTCAATTACATGTTTTTTTTTTTCAATTTTACCACTGGGACGTCAGTTGGATACCAAATGTATACCAATTTCATACTAAGATTTGATTTAATTTTTCCAGTCAATTTCAATCGCATACAAACATTACCTATTTTTTGAGTATACATTTGAAAAACACTGAATACACAAATGATTAACTAGCACACATAATAAATATGCTGAAATTATAATTCATTAACTTAAAAGACAAAATAAATCAAAACATAAGTTCGCCACAATAAAACAACCAAATAAAAATAAAAATAAATTATGTCTTTTTTTCAGAAGGGTAATTTGAACATGTCTTTCTATTGTGCTCCTCCCGACGACATGTACTGCACGTAATCTTAGACCTCTTGAATTTCACATCAGCAAACCATTTACAACTTGTGGTCTCCCTACAGTTCTTTTTGAACCAGGCGACAATAGTTTCTGCTCCGACACTTTTTTAATTGCATATTTTTCTGTTTCATCATAAATTATTGTGTCAATATTATATCATACAAAAGTACAAATAACTTTTATACATATGTTATATCAATATACAAATTTCATACCATTTTTATGCTTACAAAATTCATACAAAAGTAAAAATACATATGTTATTACAAAATACAAAAGTAAACACATATGTTATATCAATATACAAATTTCATACAATTCTTATTCACACATTTCTTACCTATTTCATGTCAAAAGTTATCAATTATTCATACTAGGATCATGCCACTAGAATACCAAAATAATTCAAACTTAGAAATGTTAATTGTCATTTCTTTAATAAATAAACACTATACCAAATTCATTACATTATTATTCTCAAAATTCATTACAATATAATGCCAAAAAAAATCCAATCAAACCAAAAATCGTACCAAAACATTATTGATTGTCATACATGCTTGGTAGTATAAGTATACAAATTTCAAAGAAAAAATGCGTCAGACAAATAATGAACAAATTCAATGTTCATACCAAAATATAACATTATGCATTTTTAAAAAAAAGGCATAATTCAAATTATTATACACAACAAAAAATCTGAAATCAGTATACAAATTTCATAAAATTATTATGCACATTTTTCATACCTATTTCATGCCAAAATTATACCTATTTCATGACATAAGTCGTCACTTTTTCACAACAGAATCATGTCACTATAATACCAAAATAATACCACTTTTAACTATTAATTGTCATTTATTAGACAAATAGTATACGAAATTCATTCAAATATAATTCTAAAATCGTACCAACATGGTATAACCAATATACCAAATTCAAATAAATTTTATGTAATTTTTTAACCAGAAACATACAAAAAAAATGAATGTTCAAACATAGATCTATACCAATTTCAAACAAATTTTATGTAATTTCAAAGTGAATATTTATACCAAAAATGCCATAATTAAAACTATTATTCACAAACAAAATTTGAATATTTTTTTCCAGAATCACTGTTCATAATTTTTTTGAACGTTTGGTTTTTATTACAATACAAATAAAAAATCGCAAAGAACGCTAACCTGAAGGATCCCATCTACCACCATGTTTTATTAATACTAATAAGACGCCGTCCATAAAATAAAGATTATTGAATAAAAACGAATATGAATTAGATGAGAGTGACAAGATTTCTGGAAAAAAATCGAAGAGAGAGAAACGTGAAAGAAAATGGATGAAATCAGAATTTTTAATTAATTTTAACAAATTAGAGTGAAATAAGGAAACTAAATATTCTTAATTAGTTTGAATTTCCTTAATTTATGCTAATTAGTAATTATCTTCAATCAATTCAAATTTAATTAACACACTTATTTCCTTTTTTTTACCTTCTTTTTTTTTCAGAAACGAATTATTTTATTTTTTTCAAAACAAATTTTTATAATTATTTTAAAAAAGCTTTTTTTTTAAGAAACTGTTACAACCTGAAATTTTTTATTGTTACAACTTGAAAGTTTAATTCTACTGCTATAACTTGAAAATATTAGTCTAATATATGTCATATATGAAATTTTTCACTTTCACAATTCAAGGTAACCGCTCAAACGTGATTCAACTATTTTTTTCCGTTTGTATATGATTTATTTTTGTTTTATTTTGAACAAAAAATTGTCCTTAGTCTTCCTATTTTCAATTTTTTTTTTCAAAAAAA